AGTGTATTGAATATACAGTGCTCATTATTTTTTTCTATTTAGGTACAATTCTAGCAATTTTTTTTTTCTATAAATGAATTAATAGTAAACTGGAAATGTGATAGAAATGTTAAGTAATAATTATAAGGCAATAATTATAGAAATAGAAATAGAAAAATAACTTTATTCTGGGACACAGTCCCTTAAGAATAACAAAATAGAACAAAATTAATATATTACATCTGGCCAAAATAAAATCAATCGAAAAAAGAAATAATGTAAAAAAAAATATAAGGTAAAAATTCTATATACAAAACAAACTAAAGTATATACAAAACCATTAATACTATGACAAGACACTTAAAGCTGTTTGCTCTTATAGATCAGTATACACTTTTACGAAAAAAATAAAGAATTAAAAAATAAAAATGTATCAAATTCTCTATTAAAATCAGCTTGAATGGTTAGCAACTATCTGACTGTTTTTGGGATAGGAATTGGTATCCCAATTGAATTGAATTGAATTAAATTGCCGTTTTCGTTCATATAAACGTCATCTGTTGTTTTTTTATTGAATATTTCATACACCATAGAGTACATAATGTAATGGTAAATTACAGGCATGATTGCTTGCATATACACTCCCTTCTTTAGATGCTTCTTATGAATCGATATAGATAGCTATATCATATATAGTCAATTTCAACCTTTTCCAAGTCAAATTAAACCTTTTCCATTTCAAATTCAACCTTTTCCAAGTCAAATTCAACCTTTTCCATTTCAAATTCAACTTTCGAATTTTTGTCAATTTTTTTCGAAAGGAAGGCCACTTACTATTATATTATATTATATTATTATATTATCGAAGGCATAGCTTTTGAAAAATACAAAAAAAATTTTGATGACATGGTTTCATATTATTTTAACATTTTAGATTTTTTCAGTGTGATATTTCTATGTCATATTCAATTATTTCCAAGTCAAATTCAACCTTTTCCAGATCAAATTAAACTTTTTCCAAGCCAAATTCAACCATTTCCATTTCAAATTAAACCTTTTCCAATTCAAATTCAACCGTTTTCATTTCAAATTAATGTTTTAATTTTTTGTAAATTTTATTATTTTTTTTTTAAATAATGGCCATCCCCTCCCCCCCTCCTAAGTAGAATTTTCACTTACGGATATCGATTTATTGTACCTATTCGGATTTATTAGGGACTAGTATTATGCTGTCCTGTACCTAGTTTTGAAAATAACCTCCATTTTAAGATTACGTGACTGCGTTTCGAATCATTTAAGTTTTTTTGACTTATTCGATATAAGGGTGTATTTTTATGTTTCCCGATCAGTAAATTTTGAAAATGACATCCATTTTATGTTTACGCCACTGTGTTTTGACTTATTTAAGTTCTTAGAATTTATCCAATATAAAGATCTACTTTTATGTTTCCGGAGCCGTAGATTTTGAAAACGACCTCCATTTTAAGATTAGGCCACTGTGTTTCGATTTCTTTGAGTTTTTCGGATTTTTTTCTTAAAAGGGTGCATTCTTATGTTTCCAGAGCCGTAGATTTTGAAAACGACCTCCATTTTAAGATTAGGTCCACCGCGTTTCGATTTCTTTGAGTTTTTTCGGATGTATTTTTTATAAGAGAGTGTATTCTTATGTTTTCAGAGCCGTAGATTTTGAAAACGACCTCCATTTTAAGATTAGGCCACCGCATTTCGATTTCTTTAAGTGTTTCGGATTTTTTTCTTAAAAGGGTGCATTCTTATGTTTCCAGAGCCGTAGATTTTGAAAACGACCTCCATTTTAAGATTAGGTCACCGCGTTTCGATTTCTTTGAGTTTTTCGGATGTATTTTTATAAAAGAGTGCATTCTTATGTTTTCAGAGCCGTAGATTTTGAAAACGACCTCCATTTTAAGATTAGGCCACCGCATTTCGATTTCTTTAAGTGTTTCGAATTTTTATCATAGAAGAGTGTATTCTTATGTTTCCGGAGTCGTAGATTTTGAAAATGACCTCCATTTTAAGATTACGCCACTGCGTTTCAGCTTATTCAAGTTTTTCGAATTTATTCAATTTAAAGGTCTACTTTTATGATGCCGGAGCCGTAGTTTTTAAAACGACTTACATTTTAAGATTAGGCCACTGTGTTTCGGTTTTCCTAAGTGTTTTTGATTTTTCGTTCGAATAAAAAACAAAATACGAAGGAATAATTTATTTTTCAATAAATAAATAAAAATATCTAATCAAAATAAATAAAATATGTATTGTCTCATTTTTAATTTAATTTTAGTTATCTTTTTTATTGTTGTGGTCTCCTGTCACAAAATTATAAGATTTCGAACAATTAGCTGAAAAATCTGAATACGGTAGGTTAAATTTATTACCAGTTGCTTTTCGGCTTTTTAGTTTGTATTCTGTGGTTAATTTAACTTTAGCTCCATAATATTTATTTATTTATTCATACTCGAAAACATATTGATGAAACTTCGTATTGAAAAAATCCAAAATGAAGCCTAATTAATCGAGATAAGCCTAATTAATCGGCTTAGTCATAAAATGGATCTTAAATATTAGATAAACTTAAATATTAGAGATTAGAAAAATTTCAATACTTCTCCGATAACATATAAGTAGATCCTTATACCGAAAAAGTAAAAAAACAAAACTTTTATAATCCAAAACACAGTGGCAGTGGCATAAACTTGAAATTGGGTCACTTACAAAATGGGGGAAATCTACTGCTCCAGAAACATAAAATTAGACCTTTATACTTTTTAAATTCCAAAAACTTAAATAAGTTGAAACGCAGTGGCGTAATCATAAAATAGAGGTCATTTTCAGAATCTACGGTTCCGAAAACATAAAAGTAGACCTTTAAATTGGATAAATTCGAAATACTTAAATAAGTCAAAATGCAATGGCGTAATCATGAAATGGAGGTCATTTTCAATATCTACGGCTCAAGAAACTTAAAAGTAGACCTTAATATTGGATGAATTCGAAAAACTTAAATAAGTCAAAATGCAGCGGTGTAATCATAAAATGGAGGTCATTTTCAAAATCTACGGCTCTGGAAACATAAGAATGCACCCTTTTAAGAAAAAAATCCGAAAAACTCAAAGAAATCGAAACACAGTGGCCTAATCTTAAAATGGAGGTCGTTTTCAAAATCTACGGCTCCGGAAACATAAGAATACACTCTCATATGAAAAAAATCCGAAAAACTCAAATAAGTCGAAACGCGGTGGCCTAATCTTAAAATGGAGTTCGTTTTCAAAATCTACGGCTCCAGAAATATAAAAGTAGACCTTTATATTGGATAAATTCTAAAAAATTAAATAAATCAAAACACAGTGGCGTAAACATAAAATGGATGTCATTTTCAAAATTTACTGATCGGGAAACATAAAAATACACCCTTATATCGAATAAGTCAAAAAAACTTAAATAATTCCAAACGCAGTCCTGTAATCTTAAAATGGAGATTATTTTCAAAAACTACTCATACCATAACAGACCCACACATCGAAAAATTAAAGATAATTAAATAAATAAAAAAAAGGTTGAATTTGAAATGGAAAAGGTTGAAATTGACTTGGAAATGCTATATAAATAAATAACTACTATTTTATGAAATTAAAAAAATATTACATTGTCTTAACACATAACATGGTTAATGGTTAAATAATAACATTGTTTTAGTGTGTCCTATATACAATTTTGGATTTTGTGATCAGATTGCTCAATTTTTTTGATAAACTTAAAAGATAGATTGAAATAGGTAGCAGGAAAAACTCTTAGACCAACGGCTTGCAATTTTTTGTCATGTCACTCGTAGTAAGTGCTACAATCTCTAAAATTTTCTAAATATTTGTCAGATTATATTAAATCAGATTGCTACAAAGTAGTCTGAAACTATTTACTTCTCAAATTCGTGAAAAGTTTCTGAAATGTTATCACATTAGTTACCTACTAAGTAGTATTAAACTATTCCAACCGTTTTTTGCCTGCTGCTGATCGCATAATTTTTGGTACATTTTCCAAATTTGCATGTCAGATTCGTGAAAAACTTCCAAAAAAATTATTCAGATTTTACAAAATAACAATAACAAAATTACTGTGCTCAGAAAGTATTCTAACAGATTTTTTCCTGCTGCTGACCACATAATTTCTGGGGCTTTTTGAGATTTTTAAAGCTGTCAGATTCGTATAAAGCTTCCAAAATTTTGTCTGACTATATTAAATCTGTTACCTACAAAGTGGACTGAAACTATTCCAATTGGTTTTTTTTGTCTGCTGCTGATCACGTAATTTTAGGCAGTTTTTGCGATTTTTGAAATTCTACCATAGCCAAACGCTTCCCGTTAGCCGTCTGACTTGAGAGTTTTAGGCATTAAAATTGTCATCTCTACTGGTTTCAATTTTCAAACCTTCTGTTGCTGATCACGTGGTTAAATCTACGGCAGATCCCGTGCTAATTTGCCTTGCCTTCATTTTAAAAACTGCCTAAACACTATTACTCCTCTGCAGGTGATTTGCCCAGCAAAGGAGGACCCGTTACCTCGGGACAACTGATTCTCAGCTATAATCCTGGCTTTGAGTCTTCTCAGGAGAGGTGATTCTGAGGTGTGCATTGTTAGTGTATATGTATAGTGTACTGTTCTGCTGTGTGAAAATGTGCTGTGAACTCAGGAGACTGGGGGGATCGTTAATCCCCACTAGTAGAGCACATCCACTAGCCCTTGTTGGGGAAGTGATTGTTAATTACTTAAATTAAATATTTCTTTAGATATCTCTTCCTATTCAACGAAAAATATGACTCTCTTAAAAAAATACATAACTTGGATTTCCTACTTTTCTGCTGAAAATTGGCCCATTGTTTATATGAACTTTTTTGTAGTTCTTGAAGTCCACTATCACTCCTATCAAAATTTCCCTCTACTTACTGGAGACCCTGTATGTTTAATATTCTTGTTCAATGTGATGATAACCAGAAATGTTTTATTTAGTTGCTTCCAGATATGAGTATGGCTGCTATGTTAACACCCAACCACCTTCGAAACCAGAGCCTTGAAGATGCTAAAAGTATAGTAGATAAATATAATAGTAGTATAGCGGGAACTCACCCCCGAGTGATGGATCTAGTCATCGAGCTTACTGCTCTCATGATACAAATAAAGGTGAATTGCTTTTTTTTCATTTGATTATATTAATTGGTTATTATTATTATTAATTAATGAAAACTACAAGCTTATTATTTTGTGACTGTAATAAGTCATAAGAGTATGAATTCAGGCCTTATTTTAAGAGTCTCAGAACTAACAAAATAAAATAGAACAGTAAAATGTTTCTCTAAATCTCTCTCATTTCGCAGGCATTAATAATCCATGCTTATTTACATTATTATATTATTTATTTATTCTCTTTTTTATTTATATATGTATCCACCTTCTGTCAAATTTAAACTTCCTTCCTATTTTATAAGATTCATGACTTTTTATTTCTAAATATTTGAACCAGTACTTATTAATTTCAATCAGTTTAAAAAAAAAAAAATGTTTTTGCCTGATAACTTTAAGGTTTGAGAATGTGTGTTGCTATGTTGTTGTTGTTCTTTTCAATAAATAGTTCTTCTTAATTTAAAGAAAAAAAGATGATGAAAAGAATCAATCAAAGGATCAATATATTACAATGATTGAATTGTTGAGAATCAATTTAGTTAAAAGAATCGAATTTCCTGTCTCTAGTCAGTATAGCTTCCTCAACTATTATACTGGTTTTATAATTACCTATTTTTCAAAGTTCTATGAGTTGTTGTTATAGTTCTAGAAACTCATGTCTGAAAAAACGCATGTCTAAGGAAAAGAAGTGATGAAATTTTTGAAAATCGATATTAGACCAGTTAGGTATCTAAATTCACACACCCTGAAAATTTTATCTTATCAAATCAACTTCAGTAATTGTTATACCTAGTTTAAAACCTTTAACTTTATTGGTGCATGTAAAATATACATGTGAAATTTTGTGATACAAAAACTCTTATTACTCTTTCTATTATTTAAAACCTATTTTCTAGTAATATAAATTAAAACCTGTTGTTTTGTCTGTCCAAAGTTGAAGTGAGTCTTTGTGGGTCCCAAAATTTTATTTTATTCTATGTTTACACCCTTTTAATATTATACCATTGTTTACAATTAATAAATAACGAGTAAACTTATTTACATTATAATGTTGGGAAAACATGTAAATATTATGAAGTATGTCAGTATCAGTCTTAGAGAATCACTCATGAAGTCAAGACCTCAACCGTGCACTTCTCTCTTAATATATCAATCTAATAGATATTCATAGACATTCTTGCTAAAAATACTTCTCAGATATTTAGTATAGTTACCAGGCAATCGTATAGTGTTAATATTACAGTTTTTATTAAGCAATAATAACATAAATATTAATAAAACAAAGTGTCCGAGGCAAGGGCAGCTGAGTCGGAGTAGTGGGAACAAGCCTACAGGTATCACCTTAATCCCGGCAGCTGCCACCCAAACAGGTTGGCTATTATTATTGTTTTTATTTTGTCCGCTCTATTTAAATTACGCTAGTTAAAGTAATAACAATTTTCATTAAAATGGTCAGTTGTAAATCGTGTGGAAAAACGGTGGCCTGAGAAGAAAAGGCTAAATTAGTCTGTACTTCATGTACAAATATATTCCACACTAAATGCATGAAAATCGATATTCTGGAAACAGAAGGCCTAAAAGAAATTAGCAAAAACTGGATATGTCCCGATTGCGAGTCACGTACATCAAAAGCCTCTGAGCCCAGTACAATGATCGGCCTACTGAGATCGCTGAACGAGGAGATTAAGGAGATGAAGACCAAGCTTCAGGGATATCTTGATATCTTTCAAGAAGAATTGAAAGATATCAAAGACACCCTCAATAAACAGTTGGAACTGTCCTTCGAAAATATAGAACGTTTGTTAAAAATAGAAATGCTCCTCGAGGAACAGAAAAACCATGTAGAAAAATTAATACTCGAAAATAACTCGCTGAAAAACATAATATCAGAGCTGGAAAGCCGTTTGAATCATACAGAGCAAAATCAGATAAGTAATATAGTGTAAATTCGAGGAATTCCAGAGAAGCTGGGTGAAACTGTGACTGGGACCATCCTTAGCGTCGGATTAGTTCTGGGCGTCAAGTTGAATCCAGACGATCTAGATCACGTTGTAAGACTTAAGCCCAAGCATACTAAAAGCACTGTTAGGTGGCGAGCCAGGTATGTGAGGGAGGGGGAGAGGGAGGAGAGAGAAGGGCCTACAAGGTCACTTTTCGAGTTTTCGCTTATATCAGGAAAACTATCGCATCGACAAAGAGGTTCTATACTAAATTAAATTATTATAAATTAAATGCAATATGATTAATTATATACCATTTTTCGCTATATTTCTTAGTTTCCGAGACATCCGTCCTTTATTATTGCTAATGTGGAAAAAAACATTTTACCTCATGTTTTTTACTATATTTGACTGCATCATTATACGATAAAGTCATGGGAAAGAAAGTTTTCAACAATTAAATTTTCTTCGAGAATATATATTGTAACGTACCTCTTATATTTTACAAATAATAATAATACCTCGGAAGATCACTTTATACCATTGGGTTACTTCCTAAATAAATAAGAGGTTGTTTAATAATAAACAAAATTATAAGAGAATTAATATATTTATTTATCTCAGGTGTGGGTTACTGACAATCAGATCAACTCAGACAAACTATTATTATTTACACTATTTATACTAAAATTAAACACTGATTGATTTTTAAAATAAAGTCAAATATGGATTGCCAAGCTAACCTTTTTCTATATTATATGTTTCTTCCTTTGTGACACTGAACTCATTTGTCTTCAAACACTTTCCAAAGTTCTGCCAAACAACTCTTCCAAATCGGTAACACTATTACTGGGTTTTTCCCACTGGAGCCAGGATCACTTCTCCCATCTTCTCTTCACTCCAGCCAAACACCAACTGCTTGCCAAAATAAAAACCTTTGTCCCTCTCCTCTTTGGGATTTTCCTTCTTGGGAAATTACAGAGTAGGTTGCTATTTTCTTTTTCCTGCACTAGTAGAACTAGATTAGCTTGCCTTTTAATTGTTCAACATTAATTTATTAAATCATTTTTACCCACTTCCAATGAAGGTGTACATTACAATATATATATATATATATATATAATTTTACTAGTTTATCTTCAACGGTTTAAAAGTTATATCAATTATAACTTTATATGTCAACACCGACAATTTGCAGTAAAAATTTATTTTTATATTATTTGTTATTATATTCCTCTAACTCTCTATACATCTGAATCTTTCTCTCTCTCTCTCTCTCTCTCTCTCTCTCTCTCTCTCTCTCTCTCTCTCTCTCTCTCTCTCTCTCTCTATATATATATATATATATATATATATATATATATATAGAATAGAATAGAATAGAAAAATAATTTTATTCTGGGACGAAGTCCCTTCAGAATAACAAAAAAGTACAGAAATTAAGATTTTACATCTGGCCAGATAAAAACAAACATAACAAATTAAGATAATGATAGGTCATTAAAGAAAAGAAAAGAAAAAAAAATATTGGTTATACATACTATATACAAAATAAAATATAAAAATCTATATAAAAAACTCTTGAAACCATACTGAGATACTTAAAACTATTTACGATGTTAAAACATAAATAAATCCTTTTAGAAAAAATAAAAAATACAGAAAAAATAAATGTATATTCTTCTTAACAGTAAAATCTGTTTCTGTTGAAACAGAAAAAAAAAAAAAAAAAAAAAAGAGAAAAAGAAAGTCGAATCTATAATAAGTATTCAGGTCATGAGCTATATGTGAATATGGTCTTATATATAATGTGTAATTTTACATAAAAGATTAACTGGTGCCTGACTGTTTTTGGGACAGGAATTGGAATAGGAGGGTTTTGAATGTAGATAAGGATGAAGAATGTCGAATTTTGATTGGAAGGGAATTCCAGAAACTAACAGAACGTGCAATAAAGGAGTTTTGGAACGAGGCAGATCTGTGAGAAGGAATGTAAAGGTCGGAAGGTCGAGATCTTGTGGAGAGGGAGTGGACTGAGGACTTGAATTGGAGAAGGTTGTAGGCGTAGGAAGGACGATGATTGTTGATGATATGATAGAGGAATGTACCTAGGAAATATTGTCTTCGAATGGAGGGGAAGAGCCACTCTAACTCAGTGTAATGGTGAGAGACATGGTAGTATCTCGGGGCACCAATTACAAATCTCACGCAACTGTTCATTTTATATATATATATATATATATATATATATTCTTTTTTTTTTTTTTTGGTTGGCTCTACAGACGTTGTAGGTCTTTGGCCGCCTGAACCAGCCTTCTCTCTGCCTATCTTGGGCCACTGCTTTCCAGTTTGCGGCATGAAGCTCAGCCGTATCTATGTTTATCCCATCTATCCATCTGGTTTTTGGCCTCCCACGTGGTCTCTTGCCTACTACTCTGAAAAATTGCTACGAGCTACATGTCCTGCCCATCTTAACCTCATTGCCTTCATGTCATGAGATATTGACTGACCAGTTTCTTTCAGCAGTTCTTTATTGTTCTTTCTCCTCCATGTGTCAAGGTTCTGGTCCAATATAGGTCCTGTTATCCTACGTAGAACCTTTCTTTCGAATCTCTCAGTTCTGGCTTCTGATGTGCTGGTTAGAGCCCATGTTTCACAACCGTACAGCAGAACTGGATTAATCACGGCGTTGTACACCCTTATTTTGAGATTTCTCGAGATTTTTCTGGGTTTCAGTACCTTTGAGAGAAGAAAGATCTATTCACACTTGTTATTCGCTGATCTATCTATGTTAGTTGATCATTTATTGAGGTTATTGTGGAGCCGAGGTATTTGAATCTGTCTACTTTCGGGAATGACTTAGAATCCACGCAGATCATGTTATTAGGGTGGATGTTTCGGCTAACTCTCATGTATTTTGTCTTGTGTTCATTGACCTGCAGTCCGATTTGCTCTGCTTCTTTTAATAGAGTCCGAGCAAGTCTCTCAATATCCTCTTGATTACTTCCGAGGACAGTTATATCATCGGCATATGCTAGGATTGTATGTTTCATTCCAAAA